TATATATATATATAATAGTTAGCATAGATATACAGCTACTTTCTCTTAGTTCACTGAGAAGAAAGTTTTGAACTAATAGTTTTTAGACAAGATATCATGTCTACATCTTGTACTATGAATATCTACTACAAAGACAGCAATATGCAATGCATTAATTATTGTAACTATCCTACTAACCTGTTTTGAAACTGTCTAATTTCTACCTTCTCAATAAAATTAATATAAAAAACTATATTTAAAAAAAAGATTCTGACAACTGCCAGGTGGGAGGCGCTCATTCCAGAGAGGGAAGTAAGTTCCATGTACCTGGCCCCTAAGCCTTCTGAAATGTCACTTCACTTCTCCCTGAAAACTCCCAAGCCTCAAAATGAAGGTTTGAAAATCCATTTTCTTCTACATAATGGTGTAACACTTCTTTGAAGACATCATAATGAACTGTATATTTTCCTGTCTTCACAATAGTACAGGTTAAGGAGATAATCACTTTTCTTTCCTTCTCCAAAATCTCTTGGAGCTGTAGAAGGAATTCTAGTCAAAGGGACCGTATAAAAGATTGAAAAGATCCATGCTTAAAATGAAACCTGCCTCCCAGCCAGCCCTTCAAGTCCTTGGTCCCATGTCATTTTGAGTACTTTTACTTTCATCATGCGCTTGGCTACCTCTGTGATTGTCCTTACCTTTGGCTATCCAGAAGAAAGTGATAAGAAGAATTTGAAGTTAGTGCAAGAGTATATTAAGAGTGAATGTGCAAAGTCAAAAATATTCCTGGCGCTAGAAGCCCAGAGCTATAGCAAAACAAAATAATTTATTTCCACAAGCTCATAAATGTATGTGTGATATAACTTTATATTTTCCAAGAACTGATGTTCCCAAGAATTTGTGTGATAGGAAAAGGAAAATAAAAAGATTTCAAGTATTCCGTGAAACCAATACTGGTAAAGGTAAATGAAGAAAATAAAATGAAAAGCGATGTGTTTTTATAGAATATGTATTCAGCCATGTGACAGAGGAAGGGACCTAGAAGAAAGAAAAAAGGGATGAAGAGAAGAAGGAGAAATGTAAGTGGAGGAGAGGGAAGAGGAGAGTCCAAAGAATTGAAGGGAATGAAAACATGAGGCCTCCAGGGAAATCTAACCAATTGCCCCCCTCTTGATACCTGTTGCTGTGTGACAGTGACATCAGCCAGGCTCCTCCATGTTGTGGAGTGACCAAGTGGTAGAAAAGGCTTTATCGACCCATAGACGTACTCTCATAAAGCCTCCCTAGAACGATTTATGGAAAACACATTATCACCTTTGATTTTTTGTGTTTCTTTGCTTGGTTGCTTTGCCATCCCCACCCCCATCCTGCAGACTGAACCCAGGGCCTTTACACTGAGCTACACCTCCAGTCCTTTTTTATTTTTCACTTTGAGACAGGATCTCATGAAGTTGCTAAAATTGTCCAAGCTGGACTCAAACTTGCAGTCTTCCTGCCTTGGATTTTCAGAATGCTGGGGTTATAGGCATGTGTTACCCCTTTTCTTTCTTTTCATCTTTAATATTCAGAATCCATGGCCAGGATTTTGGTTTCAACAGAATGTCCTGGAATTCAAAGATGAAGCAAGTATAACAAACCAGGGAAATCATTTGGCTTGGAAGGAAGAATTACTGATACATTTCAGAAAGTATTTTAAATGGTTTCCCAGGCATCTAAAATCAATTATGCAAAAGCTACATCTACCTGAACTTAAGGTTTAAAAGGTAGTTGGTGAGCCTCTTGGGCATCAGGGAGACTGTATTACCAGATAATGAACATATACAAACTGGCTTCCGTAGACAGAGTTTGAAAAGCTTGGATACTAGAACATCTCAGAAAACATCAGCATTAAACGGCAAAGTGGTGATTGGCCCTGGATGGCCAGATTTTATAGTCTTAGAAGATAAAGTTCAATATCTTAAAAACAACTTAGCCTATCAGGAAATTAACTTCTCCTAAACATTAATCTACTTTATTATTCTAAAGTTGTGGTACTCTATCTCTGGGTGTGCTGCCTGCAGTTAATGCACTGTTTATTTCAAAATTGCTGAAAGAATAGATTTTAAATATTGTCACCAAAAAAATAAGTATTTGAGATGCTGGATATGTTAATTAATTTGATTGAATCATTCTATAATGTATACATGCATCAAAACATTACACGCATCTGAACTCTAATCTACTTTAAAGTGAATAAAGTTTGTACTTTTTAAATACAGTAATTATTTCTATAACAAATGTCATTGTAAAGGGCTGAATGAAAATGTCATATGTTCAATAAACATGATTGCTTATTCTACCCTAGACATTTCCTTACAAATAAAATCTGATATAAATTTACAAGCTACTTCACTATATAAGGAATCCTTAGTATGTCATATTACAAAACAGGTGTTCTAACTATAACATACACAACTCTAATGTGATGTTCATTTATAAATTTGAGTTTAGTAAAGAGTGGTACTACGTCATAGTACAAACCTAAAATTTTAATTAAAAGTTTCACAAGATTTTAACTATTTTATAAGCATACAAAGATATATAGATAAAGATAAGACTTCAATTTTCTTGGACATTGTGGCAAAACATAATTTAGATCTCAGTAGTTAAATATTTGGTATTTAAAATGAATGTTTTATTATTTTATTTTTTATAAAGGGGCAGGGGTAATTTTAAGTATACCAATGTGTGGGGCAAGTTCTTAACTTTCAAAGGAGCAATTGCTAAAAACCACACATGATCAATTCAATTGTAGTATAAGACTCATCCTATCTCCCAGCAGAGCACGCCTGCTCATCACAACAGACCCTGGGTGGCTTAGACTTGGACACACGTAATTAATTACCACTTATTTTTTTACTTGTATTTTAATAAAAATCATATTTAAACTTTGGAACAATCATTTAAATTACTAACTGAAATTAATTTTCTTCATAAGTAATCTAAAATGTTAAGAATAATTTTAGCAATAGAACTCTATCCACTAGCTATGATGATATAAGAAATATGATTATAATTATAGAGCTCCCAAAATGTATTTCTGTTTCTCTAAAACCTTTCTTTATAGCATCACAGCCAAGTTCAGGTGACTTGCTCTTTAGAACAGAAAACACATCTAATACAGCAGCCATCTGTAGGTAATTATTCAAGTCTCTATTCAACACAGCTGGAGAATATAGGGAAGGCTGAGAAAAAAACTCTTGAAGTGGGATCTACAAACTGAGAGGACTTAGTGACCTACTGGGCTGTTTTACATGCTACCTTATAATTAATTTTGAAAGAATTTTCATGTCTAAACTTAAGCACCACGGTTGCTTGCTCATTGAACAAAATCAGGGATCAAATCCAGATTAAGTCAGCTAGTAGATTTGTAAGTATGACTCTCAGGCCAGTTTTTACTCTGCTCTGAATCCTGAGGAAATCTGAAAATATCCTGTGTACTTCAAAATAATAAGAAATCCTTCCAAATAGAGATTGGAGAGAGACTGGGGAGTTTCTGTTGCCAGCTTCTATTCTCAAATCCGTTGCTGTGTTTAAGCTCTTCTTGGCTTTCCCATCTTATTAACTAGCTCTCCTCCCAAGGACAGTGAAGTAGAGCAGAACAAAATGCTGGCTAGGGCTGCTCCTGCTTTTCTGAAGGGCAAAGGGTAAGTTAAAACCAGAGTGTACTGGACCTCTGAATTAACTACACTAAAACGGAGTTGCTTCCATCAAAACTACTATGTGTGAAAGCCCATCTCTGATTTAGTAGAAGCAGTACCATAACCAATTAACAGCACCAAGTTGTTATTTCAAGTGGACACATTTGTGCTGTGATTCACTTTTTCTAATTTCCTTTTCCTTTTAAATGACTAATCTGATGATTTTATTTTTCCAAGATACTTAATCTTTGCTTACTACTTTTTCCTGTACAGATGAATTCCATGACGTTAATTGTTGAAGAATTCAAATTTGTTTTCCAAAAAGTTTTTCAGCCTAAACAGAAGTCTTCACTTTTAAAGCTACTGCAATGAAATTGTGGATTTTATTGCTTGGATTTTGCTTGTGTTTTTCATACAACTTCACTTATACCCTTCCTATATTGCTTTGGTTTTCTACATGTGTTTTCTTCCACAAACTCACTCCCTCTCTACATCTTTCTCCTTAACACCTTTCTTTCCTCCCACCCCATTTCAGGATACAGTACAGCCTAAATGTGGCAGACAGGCTAGCTGATGAACATGTGCTCATCGGGTTGTATGTCAACATGCTCCAGAGCAACCCATCATGGTTAGTGCAGGTTTGGCTGCTTGACTGTCCTTAGAGAAATGGTGTGACTTGGTAACAAGCAGTCCTGACAAGGGACAAAGTCCCTGCATGTTACAGCTGTGTCACTGAGGTACTTTTTACCAAATTCAAATAGGATGTCTTCTGAGATATTAGTTTGAACACTTCCCATTAATGTACCATAGAATTCATATTCTTACTTATATCTTACTTAAGTTAAAAACCTGTGTGAATGGAAATTAATACTCAGTTGCATGCAGAACTCTGAGTCTCATTCTGTTCTACATATCATGTGTAATTACTGCAGGATCATAAGTCAAGAATTTGTCTTGTTCCAAGGACATGTATGTTCTGCTGAGATAAGAATCAATGCTTCATTTCAGTTAGGATAGAAGTGAAAAAGAGGAAATCTAATGTGATGGGGTCACAAAATAGAAAGCATTTCTTTAATGCTGATAGCCATGGGAGAAAGCCCCACTCAATAATTCCATTACTTACAGATGTATCCTAGCAGCTCTGCTGCTGAAGCCTGCTTTCAAGCCATGTAATGCTCAACATTCCCTCTCAGATGTATGAAGTCCAGCAATTCAAATAGGCATTCAGAAATGATAAAGGCATTCATGAAATGGCTCTCTATTTTAATTTGACACAGTGTCTTAGCTAATTTTCTTGATGCTGAGGCAACATATCCAGTACCAAATGTTGAAGAACAAAAGGTTTATTTTGGCTCACAGTTCATAGAAGTTTCAGTTCCTAGGTGGCTGACTCCAAGGCAGGATGGCAGGTTAGAGAAGAAACAGTTGATGGTGGATAGAAGGCAGCAAAAGCAGCAAGAAACAAGCAAGGTCCACAGCATCCCTCTTTCTGTCCCTTACATTCTATACACACTATTCATCCTTAGGGCAGATAGCACTCATAGCCAAGATGGTCACCCTTAATTCTACCATCACACTATGAACCAATTCAAGCATCACATTCTTAATCCCAGCATTACATTCTAGATCCAGCCACCTCTGCAATGCTCCACCTATTACTTCATGAGGCTTTGAAAGAATGTCTAGACACAGACCATAGTATTCCATCCCTGAGCCCCAAAGGACTCATGTGCATACCTTTATGCATAAGGCATTTGGTCTGTCTCTAAAACTTGCCGAAGCCCTAATGGTTACAGCATTGCTAAAACATCCAAGTCCAAAATCTCCCATATGATTTATAGCAAACTCTTAGCTGTACAAATAAAAAGAAAGGTAAACATTTGCAATCTACAATGGCACAAGATTAACATTTCCATTCCAAAGGTAGAAATAGGAGGATAGAAAGGACGGGGGATCAGAGTAAGTTCAAACTTCAGGAAGGCAATCTTTAAGTCCTGTTACTTCATGTCCATCATCTGAGGCAGTCTGTGGTAAGATGTGAACACCAAAGGGCTTGACTGACTCCACTCCTGTGGCACTGCAGACAGTGGGAACTCCCACAGCTTCTGTCTTCAGCAGGTTTTGTTTACTCCTCACCACTTTCCTCAGATGATCCATGTTCCTGGTTTCTCCAACCTTCTGGAACCTCCACTGCACCTCTTGCTTGATGCTGACAGCTCCACACACTGCCTTCACAAGGTTTTCTTGCCTGGCCTCCCAGGTTTTCTTCTCAAATCTAGGTGTGAGCCTTTCTGATCCCACACCCCTTGCATTTTGCATGCATCTAAAGCCAACACCATGTGGATGAATCCAAAGTCTACGACCAGCTAGACAAGTAGCTGGGCTTCCTTCTCTCTTGGCTATAGGGCTCAAGTGCCTGGGTGACTGAGCCCAATTCTGAGCAGTAAATTCTCTATGTTGCCACCATCCTGGAACATGGTAGTCTGGGGCACTCTTCTCAAAGCAAATAAATTCTTTCATCTTTGCAACCCTGAGGCTGCAAAATCTGGAGTCATATTTCTTGTGATGTCTTCAGGCCCTCTTCTCCGTTGTCCTGTTCCTTCTCAGAAACCAAGTTCTAATCTGCTGTACCTTTACAATCCACAGCTTTATTGGAGCTTCCTCTCCAGCCAAACTCAAAATGTTTTAAATCATTCTGCTCAATTCCTTGCTCTTGATTCAACATAAATCTGCCTAAATGCCTCCAACAGTAACTATACCACTGCCTAAACATTAGGCTGCTGCTGTACAAACAAGTGAGTCTTCAAAAATATTTTAATTTTGACTTCAATTTTCTCTAAACTAAGGGCCCATGGATTTTCTGAGGTTATATCTGTGAAGTATACAGTGGGTTAAATCCCCGTTAAGGTGGCTCACACTTTTGCCATGAGGTTCCTTTGCTAGTTCATAAACGCATTCCTCAAATGTGTAATCTCCATTGCTCGGTGCCCATTGCCTCACCACTTTAGTGTTATTAGACCTTTTGTTCCTAGAACTCTTTTGTCCCTTTACTATTTCCAAAGGTTTCATTGCTAACATTTTTTATACCATCAACCAATTTTTGCAAGATTGGTAGGTGAGACAACAGATTTGGTGAATTATTTAATATTATTAGTTTTAATAGATATAGGTGATAAATATACAAACTCATGTTTTTAAAACATATAACCAGCACAGTAGTTTATTTTTATCCTAGTTTTACTCCTTGAGATAAAAATGCTCTTCAGCTGACCTAAGCCCATCACTTTGTTAAAATTTCCTGAGCTTCTAGATTTCATAATTTCTACCATATCTCTTCTCACTCTCTCGAAATCACAAGATTACTTTAATCTTATTCACAACAAATTTTCTATATAGCAGGTGAAAACAAAACTAAATTGTAAACTGTAAAAGATTGTATCAGTAATCTTCAAAAACACAATTAGTGCAGACCTGCTCAGAAGGCAGTGGTATGAGGGCAATGTCCTCTCTCCTATAATTCCAAGCACATCCTTGTCATTTCTACCACTTTTCTTTGACCTTTTATTAATTAAGGCTGTAATAAAGAAACCTCCAAAGAGAAAATCTCAGAGTTTTTCACTACCAGTCATTTTGCCTACTCAAGTGATCAATCATATTGACATGATGGTTGCTTGAGACCATAAAACAGTCTCCACAGAGACACCTTACATCTGCCTGATAAAATCCAGAAAGCGATTTATATTTTGAAAACAAAGCAGAGTATAAGACTGATAAATGAGGCAAACTCCATCTGAACAGCTGTCTCCACATCCTTTACAGGTTTTTTTTCTGTCCTTCAGAAGTTCCAACTTCTTCAAAATTCTCATTTTTATCTTTGCTTTCATTTCTTGTTCTTTACTTTGTTTCTAGAGCCAGCCAAAATGCTTAGCAGATTAAAGCGCCTGCTTAGGCAGACTAAGGGGCCGGGAGTTTGATCCCCGGGCCTGCTGTGCCTGGCCCACCCCTGGGGCACGCTGCTACAGCCATTGAGACTGGGTATGGTGGCATACGCCTGTAATCCCAGCACTTGGGAGGCTGTAATCAGGAGAATCACTATGAGTTCGATCTATCCAGTGAGACCCTGTACACCCTGTCCTAAATACAAAATAATAATAGCTTCCTCACGGGTCTAGACTTTGGATAGCGTTTTTTCCATTTCACCGGTAAGAAAGCACAAGCCCTGAGACATGCAGGACTTATCCTGGGTCATATTCTACTGAGGTCCTGCTACTAGGTCTTACTGACATGGGATCATGTCCAGTTTTCACTTCACTACTCTCCCTCATCGTCTGCACACCCTCAGGAGACCTCAGCAAGCAGGTGTCCTAGAGCTGGGCCCTGCTGAAAGCTTTGGATTTATCATTATTCAGTCATATTCCTGACTAACTCTACATGAAAATCTTCTATCCTATATGAATTACTTAACATAGTGGGAAACTGCCTCATTTTAAATAGTCTGCTGCTAAGTTAAAGAGACACTTAAGACATTGCTGGTTCTGAAGTCAGAAAAGCCCAACAAATATGCAGCAGCTCAGGAGAGAATTTCTGCTGCCTTTTAATTAATAATAAAAAGTCTTTGTGGTTTTTAAGCACCTTCTTTGCTGAGGGAGAAGGAGTCTCAAAATCTGATACAATGAACGTTATTTTCCACCCTCCCTGAGAGTTGATCAAGGACCTGCACTTACCTGCGATTTATAGAGAAGATCCAGGGCAGGCAGACTAAAAGATTAGAAACAACCCCAGCACTTCTACCCTTGATCACAGTATGTCCTCCATGCACACCATTCAAAAGCTTCTAGCATATTTCTCTTCACTTTGTAAGAGACCAAGAGGAAGTAGCTAAAGGCACCCTTCTGTAGTTTGATTAATTGCAGTCACTTGGTGAGACTTCTGTCCTCTAGGTCAAGTTAAAATTGTTTTTCTCAAAGAGAAAAAATTTACACATTTATACTGTTAATATATTTCTTGCTAAGGGGGTTGATAATGCAACCTGTTTAAATTGCTCCACAACATTTTATGCTTGTTGGGAGAACTATGTATCAAATTGATTCTAAGAATTTCTGTTTGGGGGTTTTAAATAGGAAGGCTAAATGTTAATAGCATCACTGCTTAACATAGTTTACTATGTTCTGACAGCTCGTGGCATGCCCCCAGGTTCCTCACTATGGTCTACGAGCCCATACGTGATCTACGAGCCCGCCTGCTCCTCTCGCAGCCTCGCTGCGCACAAGCTCTCCCCATTCAATCATAATGTCAGTCACACCAAGGTTTGAGCAGCTTCTAAGACAAAGCAAACCTCGTGCCTCCAGACCTCAGCACTGGCTTTTCCTCTGCCCAGAACATTCTTCCTTACTTCGGGCTTGCTCCTCCTTCCACGTGCTCAGGCACGGGTTCCTCACAGCCACCTCCAATAGTTCTCCTCTCCTTAGTTGTTATCATGGAGTGGAGAGGTGGGCATATGGTTTGCCACCCACTTTGCCCTAGTCCAGTGGTGGTGAGCCTGTGACACATGTTTCCATGTGGCCTGTTTATATCTGAAAGTTCTAAAAGGTTCTCCATCCCTGTCTATGGGACAAGGATCTCTGTCTG